CGGTCACTTTCTCGTGCACCATGCAGGGTGTTGTTGTTGACACGTGATAGCCGCGCCACCTTGACAGTGGTCACGATTTACAGCAAGCTAGAGTGTCTCTTATACTTGGGAAATTTTGGCAGCCAGGCAAAGGGAAAAGAACAGTAATGACTTTCACACATCAACGCAATTAAAAGTGAGTATAGATTGTAGTAAAATCGTATTGTAACTACATTCGTGGAAAATTGGTTTACTTCACAGATCCTATCCACATCGGTATCCACGTTCAGTTAGTTTGAATGGCTAATTTTGGAGGCTCTGTAATTCTGCTCCTTTGCCCAAGATGAGTGCTTCTTTAATGCATTCGACTTATATATGGATGTGTGTGTGTGTGTGCGTGTGTCACAAATGGGTTAAGAAAAGGAGCGAACCAGGATATCGGGGATGTGCTGTATACGAATAATCAGTAGCCCAGTCGGAGTAATCGATACGCTTTCACATACCCCTATTTTCTATTAAACAGAGGTAACAGGTTGTACGAGTAAATCGATGCCTCTCTTTACGCCTCAAAAGTTGAAAAATCAAATGGTATTTTGAAGATTGCAATTGCTTGCAAATCAGATAAATCAGCTTCATCATTTGCGCCTTAGAGCTATGCTATGGTTCTTTTAGTCGTCGTAAATAATGCCTGTCCTATGTGTGCAGACAGAACGCGCACTTTGTCTCTCAGTGTGCGCTTGTCAATCCGTTTTATGTTAAAACTGGGTCAGGCAGACTTTCCCCTCTCTTCGCCGTTCATGCTACTTTATTCCTCCTCTTTCTAACTTCGAGTACATTGTGTCTAACACCTTAGAGATCCTGGAATGGAAGGTACATCCATCGTACTATTTATATCGACCAGGGAACCTAATCGCCAATAGGGGGGTGGGGGTGGAAGGAGTTGTCTTCATACGCTTATATTCGTACTTAATGATACAACGCGGATGTATTCTATCCACTGCCTAAAAAATGCAACTCAACGTTGGCCCGCCAGGAGGTGTGGTAATTTCATGGAATTCTCCTTTCTTTTTCGCTTAGCATAGCATTCCAACGCAACTGAAGGTCAATTCATTTGTTACTGCATTAACGATCTGTTTAGTTCATTGGCTATTTGCAAAAAAAATAAGTCAGAGTGATAGAAAAATCACCTCATATTCCTTAAATTGGGTGGTCGTAATGTGACAATTCTGTCTGTCATTTTCTCACATGCATCTATTCCCACACTTTTTCTTCACTCACTCGCAATATTATTATTATTATTTTAAATTGACTCCACTTCCTCTTTCTTTCTTTCTCTCTCTGTGTCTTAATTTTAGATTGAAAAACAGTAACGGAAACCAAGCCAATCCCTCAAGCGGTTCATCTGATTCCAGTAGTAAGAAACTTACCTGCAAGGTTTGATTTAAACGAGCTATTGCCACCACCCCCCAACCTCTCTTCAACAGCCACCCGGACTCTTCATTTCTACACTTCCACCTCATATGATTCCCAGCCCAAGGTCACTTCAATAGACCTTTCCCGAAATCATTGCTTAAGACGGAGGGCAAGTTGTGACAATAAGGCCATGTTCCATTTACCCACCCACCCACCTACCTACCTACCTTCACTTTTCTCATTAGTATTCCAGTTTATTTTGTGAAATTATTCATCTTCCGATCTCTGATTGCGTGTGGGTTGATGTGATTGACATTTATTGATTATTTTCCCCCCTCGACCTTGATTTAATTTTTTTGACTCCACTCCTCCAACCCTCCCCCCCCCGCGGCCATTCTTCGCATACTTTATTTTGTTCACTTTCTGTCCATCTCCTAGCAGTCTTTCCTTTCAGAGTGGATTTTGTCTCGATTATAACACGCGGGCGAGTTTTTTTTGTCAATCATTTGTTTGTCATTTTATTGTTTTCAT